GGAGCCGGGGGAGAGGGAGGGGCGGGGGGAGTTCATGGTGCAAGGTGACAAAATTTCCAGGCACGGGGATGGGGAGGGAGAAAGAGAAAGAGAGAAACAGTTTGTTAGACAATGCAATGCGCGTGCTGCTTATTCAGTCCCATCATGCAAACGGGATTCAAGCTGATCCTTTCGTTTTCTGCTGATTGTGAGCTATAAGCTGCGATGGCAAGGAGGTTACCGCGGGGCAGGCAGAGGCACACATCGAAGCAGATCACGTCCCTAGAGCAGGAGCGGGCTGGAGCCCGAGCCTCTCCTGAGACGGCAGAGGGGCTGGCGGAGCGAGGAAGAGAGCTCAGCTGGATTTTGGAGCGAGCAGCGCACGGCAGCAGAATTTAGGAATTCTTTCGGAATTGCAAAAATAAGCCACAGATCCAAAAGGGTAGGAAGAGAAATCAGGGTGCTTGGGACAGTTATAAGGCCGGAAGTGTAAGAGACTGAGCTGAACAACCTAGAAAGGAAAGCTTCGGTGGGTAGGCAGAGTGGGCCTGACCACAGGGGTCTGCCCCCAAACTGCCTGCTCTTTGGTTAAAGCGGGGTTTCTCCACCTCGGCACTACTGAGTGTTCACGTTGGATAATTCTGTGTTGGGGGGAGGGGGGCTGCCCTGTGCATTGTGGGATGTGGAGCAGCACCATGGACGCTACTCACTGGACACCAATGGCATCTCCTGGTTGTGAAAACCAAACATGTCTGCAGACACTGCCACGTGTCCCCGGGGACATCACCCCCCCACTTCTCCCCCAGTGGAGCATCAGTGAGTTAAGGTAATAGGGCGGCTATTTCTTTAAGTTACTGAAGTGAAGACTATTTCCCAAGTCTCTGTACAAAGGAGCGATATGAAACAGAAACACTCCACGCCTCTGCCCCCGAGCCCCGGGCGAGACCCCATACACCTTCTTTGCACGGCGCTGTGTCCTTCAGTGTGGCTGACCTCTGCTGCCTCAGCAGCCCTCACCCTGCCTTCTCGGGGCGGCTGTGTGTGTTCACCAACCCCTTACACAGCGGGCCCAGCCTGACCTCCCAGCGGTGACAGGACCAGAACCCTCTCTGCTGAGGCGACTTTCCAGCATGTGGACACACCCCGACCAGTGCAACGGGTCCCGCCGAACCCGGGGCTGCCGGACAGGAGGAGGGCCGGGTGCTCAGTCAGAGCAGGAAATATGCCCCATCAGCACCGCTGCCTTGGGGAATCTGATCTGACCTACAATCGGCCCAACTCCATGATCCACACAGGCCTTGGGCTGATTTTTAGTTTGTTTGTTTCAATTTTACTTTATTATGGTGAGAACACTTAAGACAAGATCCACCCTCTTACGCATTTTCAAGTAAGTGCACCACACAGTATTATTAACCTCGGCACACTGCTGTACCGCGGAGCGCTAGAACTTACTCATCTTGCGTTACTGAAACTTCACGTCCATGAACTAGCAACACCCCATTTCCACCTCCTCCCTAAGCGCCTGGCAACTACCATTCTGCTCTTTGATTCTGTGAGTTTGACTATGCACAGGTCTTGTTAACTCATTAACATTTCAAGAATTCAAAACATAGCCCTGGCCAGGTAGCTGGTTGGAGCATTGTCCTGATGGGCCAAGGCTGTAGGATGCATGGAACAACAGATCAATGTTTCTCTCTCTCTTCTCTTTTTCTCTCTCCCTCTCTCTCTAAAATCAATCAGTCAATAAAAAAACTGTTTAAGTTATATGTGGATTGTCAACACCCCCACCTCCTCTCCACCTTCCCCAGCCAGCCGCCCCTCTTACTTGGGTCGGGAGAGGTAGAGACACTGTCCTCTAGCGAATCCTTATTCTGGGTCCTGGGGTTCATCCCTATGGAAAGAGGAAAACAGCTGGTTTTAATGAGGCTCACTCTTCAAGAAAAGCTCTGACCAGTCTTGGTTTAAAAAGCCCCAAACTAGAGGTAAAAATGAAGATGTACACCAAGTGCTGAGGATTTCCAACAGCACGAAGGAATCAGTCACAGAAAAAGGATCACTCTAAAAATTGGGAACGAGCCAGAACGTGACTCTGAGGTTATCAATACTATTATTCTTTGCCCACTGAGACCTTGAAAAAGCAGCTTATCACTTACAGTAAGAAAAGGGACGTATTCCAAAGTCATTTTAAATGAAGTAAAGCAATTTTTAGCAAGCATAAGAGCAATCTTTAGCAAGCATAAAATGACCTATTTAAATTTCGTCCTTCCCCAAATCATGGCTGTTTGAAGTATGACGTCAAAGCTCACTACCTGAAGAGAAAACACACATGATTTCACCTATAACTAGGCTGAAAGAAAAACAGAAAGATTCTTTGAAATGCAACTTATTAACAGAAATGTAATAGAACTCATTTTAAAACACACATGTAAATATTTAAATGTTCCTTTCAAAACATGAAATCAATAAAAAAATATATTGTTTTAAATATATTTTTATTGATTTCAGAGAGGAAGGAAGAGGGACAGAGAGATAGAAACCCATGATGAGCCATGATGAGAGAGAATCATTGATTGGCTGCCTCCTGCAAGTCCCCTACTGCGGATCGAGCCCACAATCCGGGCATGTGCCCTTGACCGGAATCGAACCTCGGACCTTTCAGTTTGCAGGCTGGCGCTCTATCCACTGAGCTAGACTGGCGAGGGCTAATATATATATTTTCTTAAAAGAAGCAGAGGGGTGAAAACTGCCCAGTCCCACTGCTGGGCCGAGCGTGAAAAACAAGGGAATGGCCCAGGTGCCAGGCTGCAGCCAACAAAGCTCAGAATGAAACCCGACGGGGCCAGGAGGGAGACCCACAGAGACACCTCCTGGGAGCCACGACTCGCTAGGAGTTCGGTCCAAGCGCAGAAGACCTGAGTCATGCCCGAGTGCCTGCAGGTGGTGCAGACTGTCAAGCCCAGGGGGTGAGGGTGAGGTCACGGATGAGGTCGTCTGTGTTTTAATGAATGAAATGTGAACTAGCTGTTTGTTTAGACCCCACCTTGTCCCCAAACAAGAACCCAATGTGACATTTTGCCCTCAGGGAACCCAATCTATTTTTGATGGCTGCAACTTGGCGAGGCAGGTGGGCAGGCAGGGAGGAGGGGAAGGCCTTTAGCCCATTACACAGACGAGGCACAGCCCAGGCTGAAGGCCGAACTCCGAAGGCCATGAGGAGTCGGGCTGGGAACTTAGTTCTGGTCGTAGGTCACGTGTTCACACCACACGGTACCACTGGAACCACTCACAGTCCAGCTCCCTGCAAGAAGGCTTTATTTTCTCTTTTTTTTAGAGAGTGGAAGGGAGGGGGAGTGACAGAGAGAGAGAGACATTGATGTGAGGGAGACACATCGACTGGGCGTCTTCCACATGCGCCCTGACCAGGGATTGAGCCTGCAACTGAGATATGTGCCCTTGACCAGAATCGAACCCGGGACCCTTCAGGCCATGGGCCGACACTCTACCCACTGAGCCAAACTGGCTAGGACGAGGGCTTTACTTCCATGATTGTTACCCCCCACCCCCCCCACCCCATGGAACTGCTTCCAACAGAATCCCGAGCCAGAGCTCCCTGCGGTGAGGATCGGTGTCCGAATCACTTGGCTTCTCCTCAGGCCTTAGCATAGTGCCTAGCGTTCAAGAAACATTTCGGGAACGGGTACGAGTTCAGTGGGTATGAAGAGAGCGCTCTATGGGGATTGAGGATGGCTGAAAGGAGTCAATTCCACACCAAGCAAGGAGAAAAAGACCGTCCGATGCTGTGAGGAAGGGAATCCAGTTAACTGTTCCAGAATCAATGCTAAAGGTTTTAAGAGAGAGAAGAAAAACCTTCAGTAGAGAGAAAGCTAACCTCGGAAGGCTCTCGGCATTCACTCAGCTACCTGCTGTGTGCCAGGAACCGTTTTAAACTCTAGAGGTACAGCCATAAACAACAAAAAAAGAAAGCTCTAGCCCAGCGGCGTGGCTCATGGGTTGAGCATCGACCTATGTCACGTTTCGATTCCCAGGCCGGGCACATGCCGGGTTGTGGGCTCGATCCCCCGTGTGGGTTGTACAGGAGGGAACCGATCAGTGATTCCCTCTCATCATTAATGTTTCTGTATGGAAGGGCAGTTAGCAGGCTTCAGAGCTAATTCAGGCGAAAGATGATGGATGTTACGATGTTACGTTGGACCGAGCGAGTGGTGGAGGTGATGGTAAGATTCTAATCTATCCTCAAGGTAAATCTGACATGAACTGCTTATTGCACATGGCAACACAGAATGATTTTATCGCGTTTCTTTCTGTGGCTGGCTAACACGACTGACCAGGAAGCACAAAATCAAAGGTGGGAGTTCAATGCTACAGATCACCTCTGATGACCCCTGACCCCTTTGAAAACACATGCTACTGGTCATAAAGGGACAGGGCAAGAGTAAGGATGAGCCTGCTTCTCTACATTACCCATACATTACCCAGACTACAGTACCCGAGGTGCCCACGCCTTCTCTACGGTAAGATGCTAAACATTCTAGAACATATTTATGTAATTGAACACTCGCAGGCAAAGTAGAGTAACTCTGTGGGTCATTCAGATGCTTCTCACACATGGCCGCTTGGCCTTGGAAGTGTACGTTCACTTGTCAATACATGTGGGGCGTGGGGACAATGTGGGGGCGAACAGAGATAAGCTCTTTCAGGCGAGTGGAGCAACAAACACAGAAGCGATGGGATCACAACGTGCCAAGTGGGACAACGGGGTCATGCGTGTGAAGCGCTGTGGACACATGCCTAACGGCTCCTGGGAAGGCATGGGGAGGAGACAGGAGCACCAGAGAGCCGCAAAGGAGGGGCGTTGTTGGAGCTGATTCCTAAAGACCAAGCTGACATTTCCCACGCAGAATCAGGGGTTGAAGAAAGAGAAAAAGCATGTTCCAGACAGAGGCAAGCCCACCACCTGGGCCTGGGCCCTGACCCGGGATTGAACCACGACCTCCTGGTTCACTGGGTCGACGCTCAACCACCGAGCCACACCGGCCGAACAAGAAATGCAAAGAAAGAAGAGGACAAAATACACCACACTGTTCCCCTCAGGGCCTCTTCTAGTTGTTCTTATGGAGGGGTCCCCCTGACCGCCCCCCCCACACACACACACAATGGAAAGCTCTTTGGGGAGCAGAGATCTCTCCTGCCCTGGACCTGCCCTCAACACCAAGCTCGCAAGTCGTCCTCGGTCACGACTGGCTGACAGACCGATGATAAATGCGGCTTGACCAGCATGTTCCCGGCTAAAAATGTACTGTGCGGCCCATTTATAATTCCATGCATTATAAAGCACTGCTTCTAAATAGGTCGCCCCAAATTGTGGCTGACATGATCCCAAAATAGACCCTTCCTTCTGGTCCCCGGGAGAGCCTGCTCTGAGCGTCCCAGCTCTGTCACCTCCTGGATCGGTTACCTGCGCCGCTGTTGCTAAGCAGGCCGGCAGCAAGCTCTTCCGTCCCACCGAAGTTCAAGAAGGACATGCCGTCGCCAGGCTGGCGGGAGGAGCTGTGCCTGCGGGGAAGAGCCCAGCCACCTGGCTTAGTGCAGATCATCACCTCCTTTATCCTGCTCACCCTGCATCCCAGGGGTCGTCATCCAAAACAGGACTGGCTATTCAGCCACCCAGGCTGGCAACCGCTGGGATCCGTGTCACAGGCTACCAGGCCGCGGCGCATGGTCCGTGTGCCAGCTCTGGCCTCCTGTGACCAGCCCCTCCTGCCCTGGCACCTCACCTGCGATTGCCAGGCTAGACCACCTGCCCTTTCTGCTCTAAGCCTCCCCTGCTAACACCAACAGGAGGATGTGAGGTGCTCGAATAGAGGCAGCAAGTTAATCTGGTAGAGATGGTCACGTTGGTCTGTATCCCTCATCCATCCCAGGGGATGCTGAGGTGAGTGAATGGGGTCGAACACTGCTCTTTGCAAAGTGTTGCCTAAAGCATCACAGTGAGTCCAGGCGTAACCCGGGCTCATGCTTGTCTAGGCTTCAATGGCTTTCTTTCTGGACCGAGTCTCTTTGGATGCCTCTAACGCAGTGGTTCTCAACCTTCCTAATGCCGCGACCCTTTACTACAGCTCCTCATGC